CTGTATTCTCCTCAGTGCATCTCTAAATAGTCTGTTGTTTCTTCCACACCAGCCTTGACCGGAGGCCCCATTTCTGGAACGTACCGTCTGAGACAGTTTCATTTTCACTGGGGATCCAGTGATGACAGAGGATCCGAGCACACTGTCAATGGTATCAACTTTCCCTGTGAGGTACTGAAGCTACTGGAGCTTCCTGAGTTACCTGAACAAAAATTAAATGATGCTTACAACTACATGCACAGATCTTCAGACCACGGAATGAGGTTAACAGTGGCACTGTTCTGTCATTGTCAAGAGGCTTTGGTAAAAAGGAAAAATAGGCAAATCTGTTATTAAGTCACACCATACCAGGGATTGAAAGAGGACTGATATGCAGGGAAACAGCTACCATTAAAGAAATGACAAACAATCAAGTAAATAATGAATGATTTTTCCGATAATTTGAGGGTTTAGATTGCATTGGGTCATTAATTAGTTGACTCTATAGTTCCAATATATTCAAATGTGACTTTTAGGCCAATGAGCAAATGATAAATGAGTCAGTATGCCCTCACTGTGAAAAGCCTTAAATCAGTAAGCGCCATTGGACATAACAGTTTCAAAAACAATACACCATTACACATTTATCAAACGCACAGGTGCTTAAACAATAGTTAGTGTGTAAACATATCTGCCTTAACAGAAATTAGCTGTCTCTGTAGACCACTATATTGTATATTTGTACAGTATCCACCCTACTGCTTATGTTAAGTTCTAAGATGACACTCTCTGTATCTTATAACCCTGTCAAAGTCAAACTTTGCTTCTTTTTCTGATCAGCTTCACCTGGTTCACTGGAACACAAAGTACCCAAGCTTCGGAGAGGCAGCCAGTCAGCCTGATGGACTTGCTGTAGTTGGGGTCTTTCTCAAGGTGATTCACCAACAAACCATCAGTCTGTCAAAAAAGTACTACAAATTAAATGGAATTTAGTGAAGTATGTGTGTGTGTTTGTGTTTTCCTTCAGCTTGGTGCTTCCAACCCCAGACTTCAGAAAGTTTTGGATGCTTTGGATGCTATTAAGACAAAGGTAAAAAGTAAGAAGAATATCAACTTGATTCTCTTGGTCATTCCTTTGTTGTCTTCTCCTACTCATTCCCTCTCTTCTGCCCCTCTTCCCCTGACACTTTCAGGGAAAGCAGACTACCTTTGCTAACTTTGATGCAAGGACTCTTCTGCCTGTTTCTCTGGATTATTGGACCTACGAGGGCTCTCTGACCACACCCCCCCTCTTGGAGAGTGTCACTTGGATCGTCCTCAGGGAGCCAATAAGTGTCAGCTGTGCACAAGTAATTATTTAACCTGCTTCACATTCTCCCTTCACAGACATACAAATCTAAATCAGTAAGAAGAATACATCTTCAGAGAAAAGCCCTGCACAGGAAATTAAGACACTCAGTACATAACTGAACTGAACTGTATCAGACAGATAAATGTGGCAGCAGTCAATATCTAAAATACTGTATTTTGTCACTGCTGATTATTGGTGATATTCATAACAGGTTTTAGTTTGCTCTTCTTTTATCTCAAACTGTTTATTTAAATAACTTACTATGGTGACAAAAACAGAAAAGGGCAATGTTTCATTTTAAAAATATTTCAGGTACACAATATCCAGGTATGATTTGAACAGTCATTGTAGGTGTATGATTATGCATTTTTGAAATGGGGACGAGTAGAAAATTGCATCAAACTGTATGGGAATACATTGTTGAAATGTATTATACAAAAACTGCATAGAGAGCCGTAACCTTCTGAGCTATTCTACAACATAAAATTATGTGAAAATGTAGGGTCTATGCCTAAAATGGTCCTTACAAAGGTATAAGTACAGGAACACATATGTACACAAACACACACACACTTACAGCCACTTGTTTCCAGTAAACAGTTTCAGTAGTTGGACACGTTACAGCTTCACAATACTATATAGGGCCGGGGTCGCCAACCCGTCGATCGCAATCAGAAAATTATCTTTTACCCATAGACTGTATATAAAGAGCTTTTACCTGAGTTTTAATTTTTATCTGTTGAATTTATGTCACAACCACTTTGTGTAGGCGTTTCAAAATAAAAGCACCCCCCTTCATACGGTATAGTATTGCAAAAAAGTGCTGCAGTAGCAGCTCCTCTGCAAAACATATTGTTGAACTGAGAAGCTAAATATTGTGCATTGAACAGATGCTGTAAATATGAATTGATATTAATGTGAATATTGTGCATTGAATAGGTAAAGTAGCATAACTGCCTTTCCTTGTGTATATTTATGCCCTTACATTGAGCCTTTAATAGAATTTGCCGAAATAATAAATATGACCTTCCTAAGTGGGTTTTTTGCAAGACATCGGGGTGGTAGATTTTGGCTTACGTTTGGAAGTGATATTGTGCTTTAAAAGGTTGGTGACCACTGATATAGAGTATGGGACTTGTTTCAGTGTCTGGAGGGCTGTGTTTTGTACCAACATGTGCACATGAGAGATAGTCACCACAGCAGGAGGGTGTGACATGGCTGCCCTGCATAGCACTGTACTGAAGATAAAGTGGAGCTGAACTAGCTATTTAACATCATCCAAGTAGTCATGGTCTCCTTCAGTCCCAGAGACTCTGCAGCAGTAGAGTGAAACCTGTTGTATTGCAGGACACTTCAGCACATTGACTGGGGAGACTGGGATTGAACCGCTGAGCTTCTGGTTAGTGGATGAACCGCTCTGCATGGTTGCCCACATTAATAATACACATATAATAATTCTGTGTAAATATTCTATTCTTCTTGAATACTTTCCGGGTTGGCGGCTGTGGCCGAGAGGTAGAGTGGTCTTCCTCCTACCAGAAGGTCGGCAGTTCAATCCCCAGTCTTCAGCATCTGCATGCCGAAGTGTCTGAACCCCGAATTGCCCCTCATAGAACAAAGGTGCTGCTAATAGTTGCACTGTATGAATGGAAAACTGTACTGTAAAGCTCKTTGAGTGGTCATCAAGACTAGAAAAGCTCTTTATAAAAACAAACCATTTCATTTTTTGGGGAAAATTATTTGCCAAAAAAGAACACACCATAAAAGGAAAGATGGATTTGACTGATTATTATTATTTAATTAATTTGATGTAGCTATAATGTTTTTATTGTGAATAATTTTGCCCATGAAAATTTTTTGGGGTGACAGTACCTCTGCTTCTAATGGGAGTCTATGACCTTTAACAATCTTTTTCCTTGTCTCTCCTTTCTCATCAGATGGCCAAGTTCCGCAGTCTTCTCTTCACTGGTGAAGGTGAAGCTCCATGCTGCATGCAGGACAATTACAGACCCCCTCAGCCTCTGAAGGACCGTCAGGTCTGCGCTTCCTTCAAATAAACCCTGCTTCATCAACACAGTTCCTTTGCCCCTTTGTTTATCGGTCAATCATTTCCTTAACCTTCTTAATCTCATAATTTTATTGTTCTTCACATGCAGTCTTTATTCAACTGTTATTGGCCTTTCAACATCAACTTGAAAAGTAGAAGAAAATCTTAATCTTTGACACTATAGAGAACATACAAAATGTCCCACTTGTAAAAATTTGATTTACATTTTCCACTCTAACATGGGTATCAAGGGACTACCAACAATGGGACAGGAATCCTGACCCTTGATCTCCTCTTGTTGTCATGTTGTGAATCTTATATTTTCTGGCCAGGCTGTAAGTAATCATCTATAGTGCCCTTGTATGTGCGAGAAGACACTCTTAATCAAAAATGTAATGTCTATCTAAAATATTATCTTTTGAATGTTCCAAAAGTTATGTTTTTGTTATGATGGGAATTTGGAGCAAAAGCCCTAATCGCATGCAAGAATATTTATCGAATAATAATAATGATACAACAAATTCCCCTTCGCCTTAAAAAATAAATATGCTCTGCTCTGTTTGAAACTGAAAGCCTCTATGCATTTCCTAAAGCTCTTTCCATTCTTTCTGCTATTTCAGTTGATGAGATTGTTAAAGCAAATGTTTCTATTGATGTTTCTTTTAGACAATTTGAGACAGATTGATAACACCAGCAATGGTAGAATTTGGACATGATATTATAATCTGATACTTTAACACAAGCTAAAGTATCAGCATATGTCAATAAAATGTTAAACATTGTCAACAATCTATTTAGATGTCACTACTCTTTCTAACTGGAATCAACAGAATGTATTCATTACAGGTGAGCGCAATTATACTATTTTATCATACTATTATATCAATGTTATTTCAAATGTTATGAACAAAATCTGATTATAATTAGGCTAATGTAAAACTGCTATAGTGTGTCACTTGATAGCTGTCACAATACAAATGGAAAAATATTTTGTTTTAATCTGTCATGGTATGAATGGTCAAGAATGTAGCAATAAAATCTGAAACAGTTGTGTTAATTTCTTCTTTTTTCACTCACTGGAATTTTACCCCAACATTTATCATTTGCACTGACCTTTCCACGAGCTTAACAGTGAGGAGTCTGTTTTTGTTTTCCTCTTTAACAACAAAATGCTCTGGTCAATTGTGTACATGAGTGTAGTCCCTACATAAGTTACCCATCAGAAATATGTTAGAGTACACAATAACTAAAAGTTCAGTCCAAAAACTAAAATGTTTATTGCAACAGTAGAACAGGTTAATGTTTGGTGTCTCCAACTTAGTCACTACCCCGGATATGATTACACAGTTATGATGGGAGTGATGAGCAAATACTTGTAACCTCCCAGTTGGAGCCTACAGGTGAATGCTGTGGACCTGGCACCAGCCACTGTGAGGCTTTCATAGATTATTTCTATTGTAGCAGCATTAACGCATGACAAAGAAACTGGTTCTTCTGATCTATCTACTGCTCTGTAGGAATAGGATGCAGCAATGGGGTAAAGACCATTGGTTTTGGTTGGCCAGACATCAATGTAGAATCCACCAAGACCAATAGTGTTATGACCTTAGACACGAATACTGGTGGACTCAAATGCACGACTCAAAGCAGGTAGTGAATATAACAAAAAGGTTTATTTCTGGACTAAAAGTCTACAAACAAAAAGCGCTCACATGGAGGATCAAGTCAGGTTCTGAAAAGAGAGGGAAAAGGTGAGTACAAAATAAAACAGTAAGTGCCGGACGAGTGAAGTTTAACTTAACGCATAGTGCTCAAACACACATGACGAGACATGAACTAAACACAGGCATGACATAATTTAAAACATGAACATAATTAAACTTAACATATATGATGAGACATAACAAATAGAAGGGACAGGTTCAGAAAAACTGTGGGAATATGAAGACTCTCTTATAATGAGTACAGCCACCTCAAAAAAATCTGCTCTGATGAGAGACAACTTGTCTGACAGACACATTCAAGACTTATACTGAAATATTCCAAAGTGGAAGGGCATGGAGATTTCTCTCTAAGAGAGGTACAAGGCTTTTCACTATAATGATGCTGCTGGCAAAGGGGACTTCACAAGGTTGATAACTAGGAAGCCAACCAGGGAGTTGAAGAGAAACTAGCTTAGCACATCTGAGAGGGTGATGAAGAAGCAAGGGCTACTTTGGCAACCAAATGTGAACACTATTTATACAGGCAGTAGTATTTAACTCCACTGTACATCCAATTGGCCTCAAATTTGTCACGCTTCATCAGAGCCCCGACCTGAACAGATCTATTAGTCCGTATGTAGTGAGTGATAGCCCCACATACTGGCAAGAGGAAGTAAGCCTCATTTTGATAATAATCATTAAAATTTCAATTGGGCCCTCGCACTGTCAGGCCTCGGGCCCTAATTATACCTGCCACATTAAGGATGATATAGAGAAGAGAACACTGGATTTAGAGCTGACATTTTGAGGTGGAAAAGATCCATTTTGTTTCCCATCAAGCATATCTGGGGATACCGAAACATCTTCATTTATTATAAAACTCAGTATACGTTTGACTCCTTCCCAGAATAACATTATTTCTGTCCACAGAAAATGACTCTTGATAAACAGCATAACTTTACTTCGTTCATCTTCAGGAATGTCTCAAGAACATCAAGGCCTGGATGACCCAAAACTTCTTACTTCTAAATTCAGACAAAACTGAGGTCGTTGTAATCGGCCCTAAACATCTTAGAGATTCACTGTCTGAACAGATAGTTACACTGGATGGTGTCAGCTTGGCCTCCAGCTCAACTGTGAGGAACCTTGGAGTTATGGTCGACCAGGACATGTTATTTGACCAACATATAAAACAAGTCTCTAGGACAGCTTTCTTCCACCTACGCAATATTAACAGAATTAGAAACATCCTGTTTCAAAAGGATGCTGAGAAACTAGTCTTCGCTTTCGTTACCTCTAGACTAGATTACTGTAATTCCTTATTATCAGGATGCCCCAGGAAGTCTGTGAAAAGCCTCCAGTTGGTCCAAAATGCTGCAGCATGAGTGCTGACAGGAACTAGAAGGAGAGATCATATCACTCCTGTCTTAGCTTCTCTACATTGGCTCCCTGTAAAATTCAGAATATAATTCAAGATCCTGCTCCTCACATATGAAGCCCTCAACAATCAAGCCCCATCATGTATTAAAGAGCTCATAACACCATATTATCCAAATAGATCAAAACACAGGCTCTCTTGTGGTTCCAAGAGTCTGTGAGAGTAGAACAGGAGGTAGAACATTCAGCTACCAGGCTCCTCTCCTGTGGAACCAGCTCCCACTCTGGGTTCAGGAGGCAGACACCATCTCAGCATTTAAAGTTAAACTTAAAACATTCCTTTGTGATAAAGTCTATAGTTAGTTCTGGATCAGGTGAGTCCTGAACCATCCCTTAGTTATGCTGCTATAGGTCTAGACTGCTGGGGGAACTCCCATCATCCACTGAGCACTTCTACACCTCTCTCTGTCTCTCAAATTAAAATTGAACTTTACCAACCTGAGAAGATCAAACAACACATATGCATCAGACCTTTGCTATAATCATTTATACTGCAATGATTGTTGATATTATTTTATTGCACAGCCTTACATGTCAGCTTGTTATTTATTTAGTTGATTGATTTATTAAAAGGGCCAGTTTAAAAATGATAGCCAAGTAGAGTCTCTAATTTTGTTGCAGGCAAACTTGGTCTAAAGACCCGAGGTGGCGCTGAACTCTGCCAAGGTTAGCTTGAAAAAAGAATGATTGACTTTAGGAACTATGACAAATCCTTGAATCCAACCATGGTTTACTTAGCAGACATCATGGCCTGTCTGAGAGATTTATTCTTTATATGTATATTTGTGTATACATATATACTTATTCATATACTTGAATGTTTCCACTGGACATCCGATTCACACTGACTGAATCTCGAGGGATTAAGCCCGAGTGTCAGGAGTAAAGCAGACTTCTTCCTCAGAGGACCAAGACTCATTCGGATTGAGAGAGACAAGCGACCCGCTGAGGAACAACAATCACGGGGCTAACGGCTGAGACGCTGAAACAACTGGCAACAATACTGATGCAGCAGCGGGGCAAGCGAAGAGAATGATGGGAAATTTTCTCTGCTTAAATAGACCCTCTAATAAGGTGGGTGTGTATTTTAGATGATTGTAGAGAGTGAGGTATGTCACATGATGTATATCACATGATTGGAGCAGCGCAGTTCGAGTTGGCTGCCTGAATTAGTTTGCAGGTGTAAACGTACAAACAATACCAGAGTTTAAAGTGAGTGAAGTGATCTTTTGGGATGATAGGGTGCCATGAGTTTGTTATTATAGGGCATGGTCATTAAGGGCGTATCTAGGGATTCAGGGGAAAATAACCATGTCGGAGTCACAGAATTAGGAACTGTTGCACTGTATCTTTTAACATGTAACCTCATCCTTTTGCCATTTTACTTACTGACACAGTCTTTGCATTCCCGCTTTCCCAGCATGGTCTAAGGGCCCTCACAGTTCGGTGATCTTCTTCCTTGTGTCCTTGTAGGTTTGTCTAGTAATTCAGCCTTAGTTGTGTGTAACTAAGATTAATATCGCCCATCTCCACTTGGACTGCTATAGTTAAAGTCTAGAAGTCTTAAAGGTACAGTGGGTAGAATTTTGTGATATCTAGTGTAGAAATTGAATGTTGCAGCTGAACACCCCTCACCTCACCCTCTCCTTCCAAACATGAAAAAGAACCTGTGGTAGCTTCAGTTGTCATAAAAACTCAAAAGGTGTTTAGTTTGTTCAGTCTGGACTAATGTAAAAAACATGGGGGCCTCAATAGAGAGGGTCCCCTTGATGTAAATATAAAGTATTTAAATATAAAGGGTCTTTTCTGAGGTAAAGAAAACTACAATTCATACAATTTAGATGAAATTAACTAGTGAAAACATCATGAGGATTATTCTACATTACATTTCTGCCAATAGATCCTTTTCACCTAAATCTTACACACTAGACCTTTAATAGCTGCACAACACAATCTCAGTACCTGAGTATATTTACATCTCTCTGGCAACGTTTTTGCTGCTGACCTCATTATGATGCGAACCATCTTGCATTTATTCTCTCTCATTTATATGTTAATTCCAGATTTTCCAGATTCCAGAAGTGTTAACCTGCTCTAACTGTTCCCCATACATCTTTAAACCCGCCTTTCTAGAAAATATCACTACCTTTGTTTTTTCTACTGAAAACCTAAATCCCCATGAATTTGACCATTTCTCTGTAAAGCACTTTGTTAATTGTATTTCTGTGAAAGGTGCTATACTAAATAAATGTATTATTATTATGTTGGAGATAAAAAGTCAAAGACTGGGCCAGATACTAAGACTTGACTTTTTACCCAACACGTACATTCTGTTGCTACTGGAGTCTTCAGTTGTTGGTCGAAATTCACTGAGATGGTCAGAGTTCAATACAGTAGAGTTTATTCTTTTTCAAGCGATAAACCTAAGCAGGCTCTGGAATCTTACTGAAGACTGAGCTTCATTGTCTGTTCGGGTGGTGGTTTTCTGTCATCCTTCCTGGTTTAAAGCTTCTGATTCATCCCGAATCTAACAGTGTCATACTCCCTGTGTAGGTTTTGGCTCTAGATATACAATTTTTATTTGTGTAATCAATCACTGATTTTCTGTCCAACTCTGACATCTATTATAAATCATTGTCATTGGAGGCTTTCAAACTGAGCCTTCACTCAATACAACTGCATGTATATTTGTCATTCCTCATGCTAAATATACGTAGGTCCGTTAAAGCAACCAGCTGAGCTGGAGCTTTTCCTATCACCCTATCTATGTGATGTATTAACATCACATAGACATTTATTTCCTCATTAGCTCACCGCTGTTCCGGTCTAGCTTCATTATCTAGTTTACTACACAGTCTGATTTGGCTCTTGCTAAAGTCGTAGAGGCCTCATTATCTCACAGCTATAACAGTTTATCTTGGATCTTGTGCAGACTAGGCTGCCTGCAGTTTTCTGATGCACTCCAAACACAGACATATAGTATGAGTATATACGTTTGTAAAGAATAAATGTAGATATACTAAAATAAATGACATATAGTATGAGTACATAAACCAAAACCAGGGACCAGCGTGTGTGCCGAACACCCCTCACTGTCAGGGCCCACGCTCTCCTGTGATGAACAGAAACAAGACACGACACATCCTTTCCTAACTTCCGCATTAAACAACAACAACCTGATAAATATCTAAACAGCCTGAGCTGAACAAACTGTTTAGCTGCTGACAGCATCACCCTGGGAGGGGGCTTGGGCCTGCAGCTGCTGGGAGGGATCCAACCAGTCCAACAACATATCATATTCCTCCCAAACATATGTCCTCCCTCTGCTCTACACCATCCTCCTCATCCAGATCCAGCTCCTTACTCCCGTCAGGCTCGTAGGGGGCATCTGGGAAGTCCTGCAAGACTCAATAAATTTCATTTAAAGGGATAGTTCATCCTTAAAGTAAAACTCCAATCATTATTTTACTCACCACTATGCTGATGGAGGGGTGGAGTGTTTCAGTCCATAAAACACTTTAGGAGTCTCTGATGAAACCTTGTAGCAGCCGAGTCTGATACAATTGAAGTAATTTGTGACAAATACTTAATATAACAACAGAAAAAATCATAACATGCCTCCAGTCTGCTTGTGTGGTGTCTTTGCTTTAATGGAGTTCTATTAATCGAAGCAAGAAAATAGGGTCCTTGCAACTGTTGCTGCTTGGGCCCTTTTAATCGAGCAAATCCAATAGGGTCCTCACACTGTCAGTGCTCAGGCCCTTACTAAAAATACACTCAAAGAGATGCTACACCTGAGCTGTCTGCAGTCTTAAATATTTATCAATGTGAAAGAGTTTCAAAAGTTTCAGCTTTTAAGCACAGGTGAATGTTATTCACAAAATAAATAAGAACTTGACAGTTTTAAGAGGGATACAGGCTAGAAAATATTATACTGATAATGACAGTGTAATATGAGATTGTAAATCCTGATGAGCATACTATATTCATTTTGAGGGCAGGTGTATCACACACATAGCTAGCTATTTTAAAGCTGTTGAAGAATGTGTGATTAAAGCTGCAAGCAGCAATATGCATGTTGTAGCCTTTGCACTCAACAGAGATAACTGCAGTTTAATTAGCAGAATCAAATCTGTGAATAGCAATAGGCAGGTTTTAGGCTTGAGTTAAATTCTATTGACGGCAAGTCCATTCACACACTTATTTCATCATGACAGAGCATGTAACATCTCATTTATTGGTTATTCAAAGTTCTCATTTTTGTGCAAGTTCTCCTCTACATCAGATGTAAAGGAATCTCTGTGTGTATGTTCAAGTGATAGTAAAAAATGTCACCCGTGAGTTTAATCAGGATTAAACATTGATGTAGGGGCGGCTGTGGCATATAGTGGTTCATTCATTCAACCAGGAGGTCAGCAGTTCGATCTCAGTCTTGTCCATTTGCATGCTGAAATGTCCTTGGTCAAGATACTGAACGCCTAATGGCCCCTCATAGAAAAAAGTGCTGCCCATAGATGCACTTTATGAATGTGTGTGTGTGAAACTCTACTGTAAAGTGCTTTAAGTGGTCATCAAGACTAAAAAAGTGCATATAAATACAGACCACTTACCATTTATGAGCAAAGACGTAATTTGCCACGCCCACTTTTAACAACTCAATGGTACCAAGATTTATAATTATTGGACAAATTCTCAAAGAGTTATTGCCAAATGCACAAAGTCTCACCCTTCGTAAAAATATTATATTATTAAATATTTTGGTTGATGACGGTTATGCTTTTCTACCCATCTTGCTCTATTATAGAAGAAATGTGTATCTCAGTCCCCAAAGGCTGCATAACAAGTTTGGTCAAAATCCGAAAGGTGTTATTTAATGTTTGCTTTGGGTTGACAATTTTGATCCCACACTTTGCCCTGAACCTTGATCATATGTACTGTTATTAAGTCAAAGCCTACCGCCCAAGTGAAGTCATGATCCATGGGTGTTGAAGACTAAAGTCATATAAGTCCACAACTCTTCACCATGCTGCTCAAAAATGGCCAGTTTTCTTTACTTCTAGAAACACATTGGCTTCATCACGGATCTATTCTGTAGGAAATGTTTTGTTTACTTTCATTGAATACAGCACTTCACATCAGAAATCTACTGAGATTTATTTACATCAATAAAGCAATCAGTAAAACGTCCCTTTTTTATTCAAAACATCCCAAATATTGACCTCAAATATATAATTTTTCCTCAAAGTTTGACTTGGCTTTAGCAGTTTACAGAACACAAATATATAAAGTTACGGCTTTAACAATTTCTGTTCTTTCATTGTAAGCAAGCATGATGCTCTCAAGGAAGACTTTGAAAATCAGAGGTGAAGGTGTAGCATAAATGTTCAGCCACATGGTGGCAGCACATGGTTGGGTTTAGTTGTCATCATCATCATCGAACACATCAGCCACAGTCCTGTGGATGGAGACAAAGTGTAGAAACAGTATGTAGTTTTATTAATGTTTTAACATTAACAGACTTCAATTAAGTAAATTTGTCTTACTTGTAGATTGATCCAGTCACCTCATCAAGAAAACCTCCTGAAAAAGGAAGACAAGAATGTGTGAGCTGGAGCGTTGCTCATCAAATCCACAAAGTCTTACATTTCTCATTAGAGGGGAAACTGTTGCCTTGCACTGGCATCCTATAACATTCTGCTGTTTATACTGAACTTTCCTCTGGGAGTTCCTGTTGGGTCACCTTTGGCTCCTCAACTTAACCTTCAGCTATTAGTGTATTTCAGTGGGATTTATCTTTTTATGAATATGAGCCAAGCCATTCATAACAGCAGTAACAGTTAATTGGGCAACAGGAAAGCTTTCTTTTTGTAATATGAGACTGTAAAAAAGAAATCTGTGTTTACTTACCAGGCTGGCAAAGAGTTTGGCAAACGGGACACACATGACAGAAACTGCACATCTGTGAACAAGAATGCACAAAATGCACATTTAAGCAGTTCCATAATATCAAAAAACAAGTCTTTCAACTTAAATCTATCTTTTTTTGACATTGCTTAAACTAATATGTGGTTAGTGTTCACATTTGGGAATCACTATATAACTTTGACTGAGAATCAGCTCCCTCTGAAACCACATGTGGTGATTAATTTAGTTGGGCTCCATATCTGTATGATAAATGGTTTTCATGTATAGAAAAACAAAGCTAATCAATCTCTGGACCAACTCTGTAGTCCAACTCACTGAAATGAAACACAACTGAATGATTAATATTCCTATTGATCCCTGGCCTCCTGACCTGGAAGCACTACTGTAGTAACAAATACACTTAACTCTTTAGTGTTTTGAAACTTTCCTTATATGCTAATATTGGAGATAAATGCTGGTTTTTGATGACTTCTCAGTCTTTTTGACTGTTCTACAATTCGGGAGTATTGTTGAACTTGATGGGCCCAATTCTGGCAATTAAATATAATTAAGTTACACATTTCTTGCAGGAGATTGTACCCAATCACCAAAAATACATAGTGCAAGATTGATCGTATTATTAGACACTGTTATTGTTATATTGGTTTAATACTCATCTTTCTCCCTTCTTTGGTACCATCCTAATTACTACCACCTTTAGAGATCACCTATATATATATCCTAACCATCAAACATAATATGTTGTTGCACAACCCATTTCTGAAAAAATGTGTTGCATGTTCAGAATGAAAAGCATACTAATAATTCAAACTTGTGTGAAAAGTTTGACTTACTAAATCAAAATCAAATGCCAATCTTAATTACAATTTGTAAAATACAATGTCAAACGTTTGACTCATTGTGTCATGGATATGCCTCAGCGTGTTTGTTTTTTTTCTCTCCAATTTTGCAATTACAATAAAGGCTAACAATTTGGAACACGACAACATATATTTCAACATCACCATACATACCCATACAAAAATTGATGTACAACTATGATGTTGTTATAAATTAAATTAAATAATTTTTTTAATTAAATAAATCAATATTACCATCTTGGTTTTGTGTAAGTATATTACTAATCAGCAGTAAACACTGTGTACACTGGTCTAATGGGAATGTCAATAATTGATCAGATGTTTGGTGATAAACCTAAGCATTAGACAATTTAAATGTTAACCAGATGATGCAATATAGTGTATTTTCTCACCTTGCAGTCATCACAGTGTTCAGACTTGTCTCCCTCTTCACAAGGACATTTGTCACACCTGTCACAGTGCTGGAAGAGGACACATTTAGTCAAAGATAAGTCTAGGGAGCAGATCATCAGAGAGGGCTGCATGAAGCAGGATTATAAATAATAGAGTGGGACCACGTAGAGTGCTGGATATTACTTACATTTTATCATAAAGAAACAAATCTCAGCTATTTAATCTTTTGCAAAATTAGTCTCCTACACTGCAACACGTTTAATGACAATTTAATTACAGGCATACCTCACAGAATTCACAATATGAGCACACAGAGCCCTTGTGATAAGCATCATCATCGTCATCATCATCGTCATCATCATCGTCATCGTCATCATCATCATCATCATCATCATCATCGTCGTCGTCATCGTCGTCGTCATCTGCACACAACATTGATAGTAAATATATTACTTCTAGACTGAAATACTTGAACAGGTCTCATACTCAATGCCAAACAAAACACATGAAACACTATTGATTAAACATAAAGTGATGCTAGTTATAGTTATTTTCATGAAATGGAAGCACAAATAAAAAATCTCTTGTCCATCATTCAAAGCGCTTTACAACTTATTGATCAATAGATTACCCTACGGTCTATTCTCTACCTCCTGAGCCAATTTAAATGTACATAGCTTTACAAATCACAAATGACAATAATAACATAAATTAGCAATGTTTTCTTTAAATATGCAGCTATTACACTATAACTACCCTAAATCTAAATTCTCAATTACATTTTCTCATGATGATGATTATTAATGAGACGGTTTGGGAATTAGTTTTGAGAATGGTTTATCTTTTTAAAATCACCCAAAAAAATTTGCCGGATCAGTGTCCTCACTTTTATTTAGACTGTTGCAGACATGCAATATTTGTGCCCTGACCCTTACTATTGACTGACCCCCCAACACACACACACACAGGACACACTCCATATACAACATACCATAGTCAGAAGAGATACGTACTCACAGGTTTCATTGGTCTTGTATCCATTCAGATAAAATGACCAAACATATTTGTACATGTTTCTAGTTAAAGTAGTGATTTATCTTTGCAATATTCTTTGTCTTTGGTAAAAGAAATGCATTTGAGCAGTGCATGATCATTTGATTTATTTAATGAATGAAAGTAGGGTTAAAGGCATATGGACAGTGGTGATTTTCATATTTTGCACATATGAATGTTCACAGTCATCACAAAATCACATTTTAGATATACAAGGCAAAAAAGCTGACAACCATTTCATCTCTTGACAATATGATATTTGAAAGAACTTTTACTACTTCCTCTATACAAAGAGATGTTTCTCTCTTTTTCCAAACGCTCTCTCCCTGGATGTCTAAAAAATCATCCAAAAATCAACTTTTGTAACATTTCATAACAAATGAGAAATTAA